GTTTAGTAGGCTAGTTTTACAGATTAGAAAAGTTTAGTAGGCTAGTTTTACAGATTAGAAAAGTTTAGTAGGTTAGTTTTACAGATTAGAAAAATTTAGTAGGTTAGTTTTACAGATTATAAAAGTTTAGTAGGTTGGTTTTACAGATTGGAAAAGTTTAGTAGGCTAGTTTTATAAATTGAAAGAGTTTAGTTGACCAGTTTTACAGATTGAAAATGTTTAGTAGGTTAGTTTTACAGAATGACATAGCTTAGTAGACAAGTTTTACAGATTGGAAAGTTTAGTAGGCTAGTTTTACAGATTGGAAAAGTTTAGTAGGCTAATTTCACAGATTAGAATAGCTCAGTAGACCTGTTTTACAGATTGGAATAGTTTAGTAGCTTAATAAATTGAAATAGCTCAGCAGACTATTTGGAGAAATGTACATAGCCAGTGCTACTCGTGGAACCAAAAAAAATGACCGGAGCTAAAAAAAAAGCATTTTTCGTATCTCAGCATAATCCAGCCAGGAAATATAAGGGGATAGTGTATAGTAGTGCGAGTGCACCACCATATTTATTAAACTGTGTACTGTGCATTACGAATATTTCTGTGCCTGTTCCCCAAACTGCTCGTTGCTTTACTGTTGTACTAGCACGTTTCCATTGCCATAGTTACCCTGTTACACTTATGAAAGTTGTCTTTATTTTACTACTACTCTTGCGTGTGCTTCTCGGAGTGGCCATTGGCGAAGTAGTAATCGATCTTAAACGTTTGGCCAATGGGGGAAAGTTCTTATTACTTTTAAATGTTTTTTCCCCAAGACAGTGATTTGGGAAGCATCTGGTGGAAGCCGCAATTAAGTTAATCTGTTAATTGTTAATCGTGTTAATTTGTTTTTAAATACTATGAAAATAAGTTTGAATTTTGTGACATTTCAGTTCTCTTTGCCAGCTTTAATCAGTAACACATAGTTTTACGAAGTGTAGAACTGAAACTGACTGTAGTTATTTATAACACCAGTTTACTGAGCTGTGTAAGTCTGTAAACTAGTCGACTGAATTACTTCAACACTAACTGGTTTACTGGACCGTGTCGATCTGTAAAACCAACCTACTGCTACGTTCAGGCCTATTTTTGTGTTACTCCACTCCTTCTGTCAACAACAGTTTTTTTGTTTTGTTGTTATTGTTGAAAACATCGCGACAAATGTGTTTGTTGTGATGCTAGGTGCTTCCAAGTTCGCCTCATGTGCCACGGCGTGTGCTTACAGTGCTGTGTAATGTCCCTGCTCTAGGAGTATTGTAAAGTCAATGTTGTTAGAGGTTAAGCAAAATAAGGAACACCTTGAAGGTAGCTTAATGTCACAAAAATGTCACGTGGTCTTAGGATAAGCAAGGTAAGGATGTTTTGAAGGGTATATTAACCTCTCTAGGAACATCACCCGGACAACGTTGTCAGAGGATAAGCAAGGTATGAAACTCCTAGTGGGCACATTAACCTCTCTAGGAGCATCATCTGATTTAACTTCCATAGAAGTATCACTGGGTCAACGTTTTCAAAGAATAAGCAAGGTATGGAACTTCTGGACGGTACATTAACATCTCTAGAAGCATCTGGTTTAACTTCCATAAAATAATCACCTAAACAACGTTATCAGAGGATAAGCGAGGTGAAGAACTCCTGTAGGGTATACTAACCTCTCTAGGAGCATCATCTGGTCAATGTTTTCAGATCAGAGGCTAAGCAAGGTACGAAATCGTGTGAAGTAGCTTCCCCCCTCCCTTCTAGAATGTGAAGTGCCAACCCTGTTAACGATTAACAAAGTAAAAAACTCCTGAAAAGTAGCTTAAACATTGAAATTGCTACAGGCTAAGCAAGTGAGGAACCCTGGAAGGTAGCTTAAACCCCAAGGAGTAACACTGTCTTAATGTTACTTGTGTATGGAAATATATTATACTAATATAGCAGTAAGTGAACAAGCAAAACATTATTTATTAATTTACTACTGCTCAACGTTGTAAGATATAGGTATGCAATGCAAGAGAACTCTTGGAAGGTTGCTTAACTCATCCACTCTGGAGTATCGTCTGGTCAACGTTTTCAGAGTTTAAGCAACATAAGGAAACTTGACAGGTAATTTAACCTCCCTAGGAGTATCATTTATTGAGAATTGTCAGAGGCTAACTAAAATAAGAAAATCTGGCAGCTAATTAACCTCTCTAATAGTATCACTTGCTAAAAGTTGTCAGAGGTTGTGTAAAATAAGGAAACTTGGCAGGTAATTTAACCTCCCTAGGAGCATCATTTATTGAGAGTTGTCAGAGGTTAAGTAAAATAAGAAACTCTGGCAGATAATTAACCTCTCTAAGAAGGAATTTTCAAAGCAGGGTAGATCCAAATGAA